TTTCTTTTATTTTGTTTAGATCATTGTTTCTCAACTTTGGCAACTTGAAGATGTGTGGACTCCAACCCCAGAATTTCCCCAGCCAGAAAGGCTGGCTGGGGAATTCTAGGAGTTGAAGTCCACACATCTTCAAGTTGCCAAGGTTGAGAAACACTGATCTAACCAATATAAGAGAAATAAATGAACAGTTGTTCTACCATCACCTATTGAGAAGGTAGTGCTACCAAGTTCAGTGGGACTTAACTTCCTGACCCTGACAAGTTGATTTCAAAATTTCAGCCTTTAAAGGGGTAATATTGCCTAGGATTGCAAACAGGAGCAAGGCTTGGCATGCCACCTCCTTGGAGATTGCTCTGCAGAGCTAACACAGGGGTGTTTTCCTGGCTTCTTTTGAGGGTAAGTGGCCTGGCATTATTGCTAACCATTTAAAGGTCTATAAAGTCTTCATCAAAAACAAGGATACATTATACTGATGATGATTGGTGATGTCCAGTAACCTACCTTAGCAAGGAGGCTGCTAAGAGTCCTCATTCCCACATCACTTCTGTTATTAGCTTTGATGTAAGAAAGGTGCTGTTCTCTCTCTGTCTCATTTTCAAGAGAAAGAGGATATAGCCATAAATTAATTGCCATAAATCATATATAGTTGCCATTAATCAATTGCCCTAAATGTTTTTCAAACTTGGCAACTTTAAGATGTGTGGACTTCAACTTCCAGAATTCCCCAGCCAGCACTGCCCTAAATTGATCAGGGGAAGGAGGAGAGGAAGAGGAGGAGAAGAGCAATAAAGTAAAATATACACATCCTTTTTGAAACAGTAGAATAAAGCAGGAAAATACCTACACCCATCCAAATTGCAGTTCATTTTTGGATTGCATTTTTTTCAGCCATAAATGAGTTGATTCTGGTGAGAATGAACTTCCTCCTTCCTCTATGTGTGTTTCTGTCTTCCTAATGCATAGAATCAACCCCCTGAAATCCATGAAGAAGCTTCATGGCTTAGTTTTAAGTTATTATTTCTGTGATCGTTGAACTTTCATTAAAGTTAGAGCCTGGCTGAGCAGAAAACTGAGATGGCAAGCTAACAGGAATAAGATAATTTGACCAGAAGTGCCAATTTGGATTTCAAATACAGATAAACCTTATCCTGAATGACCTCTTTGAATGACATTATGGGGGTGAGGTCTCAGCAGCTGACAGCACCTGGCCCACCTTGGCTGATCTATGATTCCAAGCTAAACCTGGAATACTGGAAGTTAGACTGGGAAATAAAAATGAAAAATCCCAGATGATGTCAACAACAATCCACTTGTTATAAAAACAGAGATATTTCTATGAAATCAGCAGGAGCCAAGCTCAACTTAAGGGAGACTTTTAATGAATCATAAGAGCACAGGTAGCACTTAGCAAACTTGGATGAACTTGAAGAAGCTTGACCACTAGCCAGACCTGGTTAGAACTTGTATGGGAAACTATCAGGACATCCCAGGGATGGGAAGTCATAAAAAAATAAATAACCAGAAGGTGATGATGACAAACCACCGTTACTAAGAAAACTGCATGGATATATTCATGGTCACCAGCATTCAAGCTCAGTTTGAAGACTTTAGTTACACAGTGAGAGACAGTTTGCTGTAGTGGTCAAAAGCACCTGGCTAGAAACTGGGAGACCGTGAATTCTAGTCCTGTCTTAGGCACAAAACCAGCTGGGTGATTTTGGGCCAGTCTCTTTCTCTCAGCCCTAGAAATAGGAAGCAATGGCAAACCATTTCCAAAAATATTGCCAATAAAATTTCATGTCCAGGCAGTTGCCGGCAGTGACTTGAAGGCACAAAGTTTCAAAATTAGTTACACAAGGGTGGAATTGAGAGCCATATGCCTCCCAGTAATAAACTACAGCTCTTTCCAAACAGTTGCAATTATTTCTGAGTTGAATGCTTGTTTCAAGTACTGTATCCCAGGGCGTTTTTCTCAACCTCCCTTTCTGACACACCTCTGACCTTCTCCACAGCCAGCATCTTCTTGGAAAAAAACATCTTCAGCAGCTCTTTGATGGCAACGGCAATGTGTTAACGTAGCCTGAAGATGGCGCTCAAGGATGCCCATGAGTGAGAACTGAGGCACTCACTTTTCCACTAAGGTTGAGCCTTCGGTATAGCCATAAACGCAAGTTCATATGGCTTATAAAATATTCAAATTGTCATGCAGAAGGCCAGCAGATCAAGGCTTGCTGGAGAGAAGGCAGGAGAGGTCACTGCGGATCTTGAAGTATAACCTAAGGGTCAGGAACATATTTGCATGCTGTAGCTATCCTGCAGTGGATGGAGGTAAGATTTTAAAATGCAACTTGGCTAACAGGCGGGGAGAGTCAATTCTCTTCTCCAGCCTATATTCATTTGCAATGCCCTCACCATTTTATAAGGCAAGGAAAAAATTGTTGGGAGGTCCAGGCGCCACATTTAGCCTTTTCACAGCATACTGGGAGTCAAGATATAAAAAAAGGAGACCAAATAATTTTCAGAACCAGGGAAAAACCTATATTGAACTCAGTTCTATTTGAATGTAAATCGGAATTAGAATTAAACTATTATTTTTTAATGCAATTAACTTTTATTCCTCCCTGTCTATTTAGTAATTTCCCCTTCTGTTGCATTAAAAATTACAGTTCAGTGGTGACATTTGGGGAGACTGGGAAGGGCTTTCAAATTGTGTGTCCATTACAAGGAGATTTGGCATCAGCTCTGATTATTTAGCAAGCATTCTCTGTCATCAGCATGTTAAATGTGGCTTATATCTTCAATGAAACCTATTGAGCTTCTTGCTATATTGCTAAAGAAAATGCCCCACTGTATTCTGAAAAGCAACCAGTGAAGCATTTTCTTGGATGAACAGCTTCTGACCACAGGTACATGTTTACCCAAATAGATTCTTCTGTACCTCATCAAAACTTCCATGGACTAACTTTCTCAGTGTGGAAATTATAGATGTAAGCATCAAATCTTTCAAGCACAACATCTCACTTCTGCATCTGAAGTCCCATAGCCCAGGAATAAATTACCATATCAGCTGCGGCTGAGATGTTTGGATTGAAGCTCACCTACATTGTTGTTGTTGTTCAGTCGTTAAGTCGTGTCCAACTCTTCGTGACCCCATGAGCCACATCGCG